TTTCCTAGAATTAAATCCCGAACTGAACTGAAATCAACAATAAGCAGAAATTATTTAGAATTTGGGGACACTTTTTACAAAACAAAAATCAACAGGCTTTCCTTTTCTAATTTGCAAGATGTTTCTTAAGAACAATATTCAAATCAGAAGACGATCAGTCCTACCTTGTGTTTACAAATGTAAATGTACTTTTCAAAGTTTTTTTCGGAATCACACCATGTACTGTATACAAGTTATCTTATCTCTTACATATTGTAAGCAGTGTTTCCAATAATGGAACAGGAATGTATTTGCCCCTTTAAAATAAACGAGGGACTTACTGAAAGTTGTATGATTTTTGTTTTATAAAAAGTGTCCCCAAGTTCTAAATAATTTCTGCTTATTGTTGATTTCAGTTCAGTTCGGGATTTAATTCTAGGAAAGGTGGCTTTATAATATATGCAGCAAAGAATTCCCCTCATAAAAGGAGAATGCCAAAAAAGTGTTGCTCCCTGTTGCTTTTACTATTTTTGCTCATTAGGCAAAAGAACCCAACAAACTGAAAGGCGAATTCGAAAGAGCTCCGTTCCACGTGCTCTTCTATTCTGGTTGTTTTAAAAATACGTTTCTTTTTGAAATATAGAATAGGAATTCTGGATTTCTTTGCGTTGTGCGCCATTTCCAAACGGAGGGCTTTTTGACGCCTTAAAATAAAGGCTCGCTTTAGCCAGGGGAGATCCGAAAGGAAGGGACCGAGGCGCCCCTCTTTCTCCACGGCGCAGAGCAGAGGAAAAGTAAAAGCGAGACTTCCCGGCGGCGCCTGTAACGCAGGGATTGCCGAGCGCCCGGCTCACGCTCTCTTGGCGGGACCCTGCGGAGGGGGCCCGGGAAGCGTCCTCCTCCTTGGAAAGCCGCCTCTTGCCGCGGCAGCCTCAGCCCGAGCCCCTTCCCGGGCCAGCGGCGAAGTGGCCGGGAGAAGGGCTTTTTCTCTGCCTGTCCCGTCCTTCTCACCTGCTCGAGTTTCTGCCACGGCCCAGGGAAGTAAAAATACCCCCCAGTACCAGCTCCAGCATCGCTGGCTGCGATTGTCCGAGGAGGCGGGGGAGGCGCTGCCGAAGGGGACCATGCCGAGTCCTCTGAAGCGGTCTGAGAGTGGGACGAGATTATTCTGCCGACTCTTCCCCGGCCGCTGCCCCGGGCGGCACAAGAGGTCCGCCCTCTCTTAGGCGGGGTGGATTGGAAAGCGAAAAAAGTCTCCGCCCGGTTGTCGAGCAATATTATTATCATCATCACCATCATCATTATTATCGCGGTTGTTATAGTGTCAGGAAGCCAAGGACAGTAAGGCGTCTTGACCTCCTTGTAATGTCTCCATACTCTTAAGGGGAAGTCATTAACCCGGAATGATTTATAAGCAAATCTCAACACCTGGCCGACCCTGTCTGTAGGGTTTGGAAAGGAAGGAGCCTCAGGTCTGCTTGATATTTCAGCGGCAAGGAATGGCATCCTTCCATACACCTCAGAAGTTGAACTCAACAAGGAGTGTTGTAATGTGATACGGAGGTGTAACCTTTTGACTGGAGTCTGGGCATAACACAGCTATATCTTGAGGGATACAGAAGTTTTAATGGATGCTAGCCAATTGGGGTTTTAATGGTTTTAATGGATGCTAGAGTGAGCTCCTGTTACTTGTCCCAGCTTCTGCCAACCTAGCAGTTCGAAAGCATGTAAAAATGCAAGTCGGAAAATAGGAACCACCTTTGGTGGGAAGGTAGTAGCGTCCCGTGCACCTTCCACGTTTAGTCTTGCTGGCCACATGACCACGGAGACGGCTTCAGACAGCGCTAGCTCTTCGGCACCACCGCCTAGAGTCGGGAACTAGCACATATGCGCGTGGGAAACCCTTTCCTTTAGCCAATTGGTCCTTTCCCCCCCTAAATTTCTCTTCATGGATATGTTTGAGTAAACAAAACATGGAAATATGTCAAACTTAGAAACATAGAAAACAAACCGCGGAAAAAGACATAGTGGCCATCAAATCTGTCCTTTGCACTCTTTATTTTTTGTTTTCTTTTTAATTTATTATTTTTTAATTACAATATGTTTGTTGCACAGTCAGCCAGGTATTCAGACTGGATTTTGCATTTTTATCCACCTATTGAGTCCTTTTCTAGCACCTGGGATAGACAGATGTGAATGTTTGATGATGTTAAAGGTATTGTCGCAGTATGTAAGCTGTTGTAAGTAAAGCTTCCTTTTGCAATTTTTATTATTATTATTATTATTATTATTATTA